GCCCATCAATCAGAGGCAGCGACAAATTATGGAACTTCTGTAAACGAATCGTGGACAATGTTCGGCTGCCAAAAGGCATTAAAACCCAATCAGAGGCGAGACAACTCGGGGGGAATGGGAATGGGCTGTGGCTGGGACCATCAAAGTCATCAGCTAATGAGACTTTGACTGCGTTTAGTTTTCGATTTGCCAGACAAGGCAGTCGCAAGCTGAAGCCAGCAGCAAAAACTATGCCAGGTCCCAACTGTCAACGCGTGTCAAGCGCGGAAGAAAACATTTGACAGGCCTCCAAAGGGAGGGCGGAGTCGCTCAATTAAAGCTTCTTTCGGCCGGTTCCCCATCTCATCTCATCTTGCCCCAAAAAAGAAATCAATTAGTGCGAAATTAGCCAGGAGAGGCGAGTCAGGGTCAGAATCAAACAGACAAGGCCCTCACTTCGCTGCGGAGTAAATCATTTCGGTCTCTTTCAATGGACACTGCCACATTGTGGCTTTATGGCTTTTGATATGGGTCCGGCGATTTGTATCTAATGAATTTTTAAGCTGAAAATTATTAGACATTTGACTCCAAATCTAATTTGATTGCCATCAGCGATAGCCAAGACGATCTGAAGCCCGACTTGAAAGATACCCGTCAATCAGATGCAGTTATTGGGGGTAAGCAACAATTTATTAGTTTACATAATTAACTATTTATGAAATAGTTATGGCCAAAGCAACTATTAATTTTAGGAAATTAAAAAGATACAAAATTCAGTCAGTTATGTTGTTAAATTTTATATTTTTTTTTGAAGTTTTTGAAAGCAATGAATCTTAAATTTAATTTAAAATCCATTCTATGCAGTTATTGGTTGGGAATTAACTATTTTTTGGATTATAAATAATTTATTAAGAAAATAGTGGCAAATGCGAATATTGTTACAAAAAAAAATATTAAGTCAGTTATGTTGATAAATTTTTTTATTTTTATACTTTCTTCAAATGTTGTAGATTTAAAAATATCTGATTTTCCCATCTATTTTACACCCGAAGCCCTTCAAACAGAGGTCTGCGTCATCATCACAGGCAATCACAACAATGAGCAGCATATTGATAAGTTAATCTAAAGTGGATTTGGCTTTTAAATGCCAGACACATGATGGGAGATCATAGCCCGCCTGTGGTGGGCTTCAAGTGGAAAACCCCGACTTCCCCCCCCGATATTGCCGTCTAATTGCAGCAGCCACTGTTTTCTGGCATATCTGGTCTAGGGTGGAGTAACCCTCACCCAAAATACTCCCCTTTGCACTCGCGATTCCTCTTAGGATCGCATAAATCACAGTCGAGTGCATTTAATTAATTTGTGCCTAGTGGGGGAAAAAAAAAATATATATATGAAATGAAAAGTTGTGGAATGTGTGGCAACGGGGAAGGGGGGAAGTAAATTCGACAAAAATATGAGGAAAAATACAAAATAAACTTGGAGTACAATGGAAAAGTTGCGCATGCAGCTGCCACACACAGAACAGAAATTTGTTTTTATTTGCATCTGGCTGTTGTGTTTTTCTAAATGGAAATTTGAAATTTTAGCCGCAGACGCTGTGGCAGGTGCCATTCTAACGGTTACTGCTCACTTTTTGTTTTCCATTTCTATTTCCATTTCCATTTCCATTTGGCTCGGTTTCTTGCTCTTCTGTTTTTTGCCGCTTTTCTATTTGGCTGTTTGGCTGTTAGCTTGTTTGTTTGTTTGTTTGTTTGTTGCTTTGTTTATTTGCCTATTTGTTTTTGCAATCTCTTCACGGTGGCTAGTTCGGATTTCCAATTATTGGATTTCAACACCCCCGCAATGGAGTAGCTCATTAGAACAAGTACTATAGATCGTTTGCCAGGGGAGAACGACTTCCGATTGCCCATATTCAATATGCAAATTGATGGGGCCAACTAAATCGCATCTAATTGCCACTCTTTTTCCACGAAGGCGAAACCCAATGCAATCGATTTCGCGGAAAACACTGCTTCATTCAAAGGCGGTGGAAGCGATGGAAATTCCCGGAAAATTTAGCCAACTAGAGTAGGGCAGTTATTGAGGACTCAAGGACTCTCTTTGGCGAACCAAAGACCGAACTACTGTGCATATCAATAATTCCCATTAATTGCCCTCCGTCCACGCAACCGTTTCCCCTTTAACTCGGCGCATTTCCGTTTCCGGCGAACTAGAAGAGAAGGAGGGGGTGAGTGGGCGGGCCGCACTTGCTGCACTTGGCTAATTCTGTTTTAATATTCAAGTTTGGATAAAAAAACCAGAAAATATCTGGGGGTGGATTGGTGTGCTAGTTCTGTTCTGCAGCTACATTTGTAGATGCAACATCGAGCAATTGCTGCAGCAGAAACACGAGGGGTGGAAATTTCTGTTGCTTTTCCAAACTTACGCCACATGCACAGCCAAAAAAATGTTTTCAAAGTGGTTGTCTTTTGGGCTATACATTTTTCCTATTTATTTTCGCATTAATTATTGTAATTGCATTGAATAAAACAAAAATCTTACCTTATCTAATTTTACACTTTTTAAATGCTACTCATTTAATCATTTATTATTATTCTTACAAAAAAAATGTATATTCCATTTTATGATGGATTTTTTGTAAGTTTCTTGTAAATATTTGGTTAATCATTTCAAAAGAAAATGTTGCTAGGCAATCTCCTATTATTTTAAGTAAAGCCTAAATTTAGTTTCTCAATTTTGATTTTTACATATATGTACTATTTAAAATAGAATTTTTCAAGAATTTTTTAGACAACAAGACATAATTGAAATGTTTGTTTTTTTTTTTACACAAATAGACTGAAGACTGAAAGCATTTTTTAACCACAAAATGTAATCGAAATGTGTTTGTATGTTTTTTCCTGTGCACAAACTGCAGACTGAAAGTGAGCCGAAAATGGAATAAAATCCAACGCAACGCTGAGGCGTTCTGCTTGGCTAGCTACGGCAGCAACAAAAGGTAAAATCGGCATGTGAGTGTGTCGGCTATATGCTATACATTCGTAAGCGGGCGAGTTTAACGAACTAGGCTTTGTGTTTTGGTCCACTCTACTCTACGCTCGTACTCGCCAAACAAACTAATTTGGCCCCCATTTCCGCCCCTCCGCCCAACTGCATGCTCCTCTGCACACACACACACGAACATTTTCACATTTTCACCATTTCGCGATTCTAAACATTTCACTTCGTTTTAATTTGAAGATAAGTAATTTTTGGACTTCTTGGAATTGCAAGAACCAATTTGATTTGCGAACATTTTAAATTCGATTTGCAGTAAGCCTTTTCAGGACTCTGCTGTCAAGGACACTGCAGCACGGAAATCAAATAAACAAATCAAATATGAAATGTTCCATTTGAGTCCGTTATTCGGACCGAATGTCGTGCGAAATATGAAATCATTTTCGTCGTGCTATCTTCCTGGTAAATGCAGATTGGGTGTCTGGAGGAATAGGATTGGGGGCACCTAAAATAGGGCCGGTAGATAAGGATAAAGCCGCCCTCTAACTTGCCGCCACATGTGCAAAAGATAAAACCCCGATATTCGTGTGGTGCTGCAACATTTTTCTTATTTACGAGCCACATAGCCATAAAAGGCGACATAAATTTCGTAGAGTTGCTCCTGCTTGCCGACCAAAAAAAACGGCAAACGGGATATTTTTCGTTGCCAAAATGCAGGCGGCAGTCGAAAGCCGTGAGGAATAAAGAAATTGATATAAATGCCGGGGCAAAACTCGCACATCGCCAGAGATAGAAGGAGAACTTCGAATAAGGATAGATCACACACATTGCGCCGAAATTGCGCGAAATGTCGTCAAAGTTTGTCAAAATATTTAAACGAATGTGTAGTATTTTTGATGCGCGGCGGCATGATGATTCAATCAGAGGAATAAATTCCCAAGGAATCGCACTCCTGACTTAAAGTTTTTTAAGGCTTTTCCTAATGGCAAAACAATCCTCGATTATTACACCAGTCGAGGCACGGCAATAACCATTAATAAAAATGTTTGGCATTTTAAATTAAACGACTACGCCGCACGTGCCGCCTTTTTTTTATTATTTGTTTTTTTGGTTTTGGGGCAAAACGAAAACTTTGAGGCAATTTCATTTCAATTCAAGTGTGGAATTTAAGGCCATTTGCATATCAAAAACGAGGAGAGGCAAGAGTCCTTTCGCCGCGCAGCTGGCGACGATTGCGAATCGCCTCCTTTTCTCGAAGGAAAACAATTAGCGGAAAATAACTTGGCAGCGGAATTCGCGCCCAACGATTCGACGTAATTGCAGATAATTTTCGGCTTTCAAGAGGGGGTAAGTGTTTTCCCCCCGGCACTCCAAATATCATTAACATGAATTTATAAACAATCGCGGAGAGGCTTAATTAAATTTCCCCTCCTTTGCGGAAGGAGCAAAACTTATGCAAAGAAAAGGGTTGGGGATTCCATAAAACATTCACAGACCATAAATGTGTGTGAACTTTCGGAGTATGGCAATTTTTTAAATAATTGTCCATAAATATAAGCGGACATAAAAAGGGCAACCGAGCGCTTAATCCGTTGTCGCATTTAATATATTGGCCATCCCGGCGAATGGAGTAAGTAAAGCGAGCTCCGAATCCTTTGGCTCGTAAAATGTCAAGGAAATTTTTATTGATGAGCCAAAGGCGAACGACGGCGACGACGACAATGACTACACACAACGCTTTCGCCTTGCCGAGATTTCCTCGTCCTTGCTGGTGGTACTGTAGTTGTAACTTTTTTTTCGAGGACACGCCATAACCGATGGCCGGGAGTTTGGGCCCGAAGTAAAAGTGTGTCAAAGTGTTTCCCGGCACATGTATAGAGTATAGATATGGCACTCGTTGGTACACTGACTAAAGGCAGGGCCAACCAACAATCCGGATCAAAATTCCGCTGACACGTGACTCCAAAAAAAACAACACTCACACACTTTGTTTATCATATATAACTCATTTTTGGCTATACCTTTTTCAATATCCATGCGATTCCGTATATGCAACAATTCTCGGGCTGCTATTCGTTAACCATCTAAATCACAAGTCACTGTTCACCACGCCAGATGTTCTATCCGCACGATTTCGGAACATTTCTTTTTTAAACTGATCTTGGGGTATTTCCAGTGATTGCGCGATTTAATTGTTGATTTTTCTAAACGTATTAGAATTTTGTTCGGAGGCGAAACACAATTTGCTCAGAGCCCGGTGCCCGGAGCAGCACGTCCAAACGGCGAAACAGCGAAAACGTATTTGAATTTAACGAACGACCAGCGAACGACGTTTCTTTCCCGTTTTGGCCGCTAACAGAAGTCATTGTTTCCCTAACATTTATGTTAAGACTCTGCGTTCGCTAACAGAATTGAGAAAGGTTGGTTGTCGCAACTGAGAATATTTCTCTCAGAGAATCCACCCGAAGCCGACTTCGTGCGTGGGTGCCGACGGAAAACGAGCGACCTATACCAACCACTCAAACCTGTTAACGCATTTTCTCGCCTCTCGACCATGTTGTGTTTACGTTTTTTACAGTGGCTCAAACGCGGTTTCGACTCAAAAAGGTTTGAGCATGTTGCAGACTTGGGTTTTGGTGTTGCAAGTCTGGGCCTTAGCAACTTGCGCACTCAGAAAAAAAATATGTTAAAGTCTACCTTAAAAACACAAGACAAGAGAGATTTTAGAATATGACAAGAAAAATTTGTTAATTTTCTTTTAAAATTTTAAAAAGGACTTTCATTTGGTGTGATTGTGGTTCGGTGAGTATTAAGCTTTACGGCCTAAAATTGTTTGTATTTCTGTCTATGCAGATTTGTTTAATCTTAAAACAGTTAAAATAATTATCGTATTTTGAAGTGTATCGAAAGAGTAAATATTTTGTTATATCTTTTGACAGTAAGCCCTTTCCTAAATTGCAAAACAAGCTATAATTTCTTTATTTTAATCCATTTCAAATATGTATTTTATTTTTCTCACGACCTTTAGCCAATTCAAAACCTTTCTGAGAGATTTAAGCAAAAGTTTTGTGTTCAAAGAATTGCCAAGCCTAATCTTTTTTACAAACATCGTTTATCACATTCCCTGCCAAAATTGTGCTTTTGTTTCTACGAGTCAATCTTCCGCGCACCGCTCTTGTGATTATGTCGCGTCAAACGCTTGGCTGACTGTGGGTCCAACCTTCTTTCGAGTGGGTAATCCGAATACGTTCTCGACTTGGCTCACTCTGGTCTACAATTAGTTTTCACGCTCGAGTGACTCGAGAGCAGCCGCCCCGAACCCTGAACCCTCCTAATCGGCCATACACACCCTGTTGTTAAGGAGACAACGTTTAATTAACCGTTTTGGGACCCGCACGATGGTCGTAAGACCGTTAAAGTAACTGAAAGTAACTGGGATTTTTATGGCCTTAGTAGCTGTTTTTCAATCCCAAACTAATTTAAAGTGGATGCCCCTGCTAACCCATTTTCCAGCGCAGATAAGCCGAATAACTCACATGTTCAGGGGCAGGGACCGCCGTGCTCCTATCAGGCCTTCCGCATGAACGAAGTCAGTCAGGTGTCTATTAACTGCCAAGATTTTTGAAGCATGCCATCGCGAACGGCCCCCAAAAACCCCCAACAACCCCACCATCCTTGTTCGCCCAACAAATTTCCCATTAAAATCAAATGGAATTTCATATATTCAGCGGGGTGGGGCGACTAAAGGATGAGGAGGCAACAGCTGCAGTGACATTCGCCGGCGTACTTAATGACTAATGGACTCTTAATGATCTAACAAGGTACACACATTCTATACATACTCTATAGCATTGACACCTTTAGCTGCATCTTCCGAGCAATGAGGCAAAAGGATGTCGCCCCTGCTGATGCTGTTTTTGTTGGGCGGATGCACGATGTCGCCTCACAACAAAGTTCAAAACTTAATAATGCAACATTAGTTGCCACGATGTCGACGCTCACATACACAACAAGAAAATATGAAGGACCTTAGCGACCTTAAGAACAGCGGCTAATTTTTCAAGAATCTGCGGTAAAAATTTGCTCTTATATTTTATGTCAATTTTCTGCGCGATAAAATGAAATTTCATTTTTCAAAAAATGGCTTTGCAGTAAAATTACTTAAGCCAGCATTTTTAAGGCCATAACTTTTTTTTTCATATTTCTGGATTAAAAAGGCATAATTTAACAAATTGTATGTGGAATAAATATCCAAAGCAATTTTTGAAAACTTTTAAATAAAATCAGGCGCAAGTAGTTGGTTTAATTTGACAGTTTTTCTCTCTTGTGTAGCTTGTGGGGGTGTCCCAGTGCTCGGCGTTCAGTGCACGAAACGTGCCACTTGCATCAGTCGCGAAATGTTGCAAGTGCCACGGGCAGCACGTTGCCAACATCCTTGAGAGGGGTAAGCGATTGGGTGGTTGCCCCATATAGATGCAACGGAAGCGGGTAAGAGTCGCAAAAAGAGCAGGCGAAAAACGCAACCAAATTGCAAAAATTAAATTAGTAAATTTTGTTACAAACTTGCCGAGGGAAAGAGGGTGGCTTTTTGGCCATCTAGAGGGGATTTTGGCCTAGGTCAAGGGGGTTGCTGTGCTATTTTGTCGTGGAGTCTTGCGATTTTGCTGCTGCTGCTGCTTCTGCTCTTGCATTTTGTGCCGTTCATGCGCTTCATTTATCACGCAGCTGTCAAGTTTCGCCAGAACCAGAACCGTGACTCCCAGAAGGTGAGTGGAAATGGGCGGAAAATGTGGGGTAGCGGGTAGGTGGAAACCTTACGAACACAGCTTGGCCAAAATTAACCTTCGACTAGCCCCCAAAAAGCCAAGAAGCGCCGGAAGAAGAAACCAAAAACAGTTTTACACGCCGCCGCACAAAGCAAACACCTCGAACATATGTCAAGTAATCAGCCAGCAAAGTCAGATTAGAGCGGGAATAGGAATTGGAAACGGCAACTGACTGCCTCTCAGTCTGAATCTGAATCTGTGTCTGAATTTGTGTCTGTAACTGTATCTGTATCTGAATCTGAATCCGCGCCAGACGCTGGGGCAAAGTTTACCTTGGCGGCACATGCCAAGCATAAAATTGAATATGTATCTAAGACTTTGCGAAATGAATCTCCAAACGGCGGCCAAGAAGGTAATGTTTATGCTAGACAAGCCCCGCCAGTGTAAACAGGCTAGATAAACGGAAAGGGACGGCGGCGAGGCGGTCGTCGCCAGAAGTTCACGGCTGAGCGGTTTTGCGTTTGCGCGCCGTTGCCGACGTCACCGGCAAAATATGGGGAGGTGCACTTAGAAAAATATGTATAAGGTTTGTAAAGTCTCTCAACATATACACAAAAAAACATTGAAAACAGTAAAAAAAACCTATAAGTAACGAAAATATTTCATTAAAAACTTGTATTGATTTATTATAATTCCTTAATTTAGAGCAGAAAAAAAGGTGAGTAATTTTTACGTACACTAAGGTTTTAGAAACTTAATAAATTCATTAATTTAGGAAAGTATAAAAATCGAGAGTTTCATGTATACATCAAAAGAAAATATTCTCCAATTGTTCTGATCATTTTTTAGGGCTATACCAGAATTAAATAATTTTGAATACAAATTCGAAAGTAGTATTTTTATAAGTGTAAACAGAAGGGTGGGTAAATTGTAGGAGGGTGGATGGTAGGGAGGTAGCCGGGCCGGTTACAATTTTTGACTCACCGGTCCGCTCGACTGAACTGTCGACTGTCGAACGTTTTCCGTTAGCGCTTTTCGCTTTTACCATTTCCCATTTTCCCCCGGCGCACAAAACCCACGGTGACCGCAAAGCAAAGTTCAGGGTTGGAACGAGGAAAAGCATGGGAATGTTTCCGTTTTTTATGCAATAGAAACCGATGAAAACTAAAATTTACCAATAAAAACAGAACAAATAATTGTGAGAAAGGGCGGCAAGTGGCCTGGTGGCATTTCCCTTTTATTATGCAGCATAATCAACCATCCGGTGCTGCAACAAGAGTCAACCCCTGCCAAGCTGCAAATGTTTAACCCGCCCCTGCAGCTCGTGCCATCTCGCTTTTGTAAAGACATGCAGCAAAGTTGCCGTTCTAGCCATTTGGCTACAATTTGATATTTTTCATGTAAAAGTAATTGCAAGGTAAACAATTATATAAATAACGGTTTTGGTAAAGCTATATTTTTATTTTTTTTTACGCCTTAAAACTTATTTATTTATTAATAAAGCGTTTTAGTTTTGGTACAGTGTTAAATAGAGAATTTTTCTTAGGCTTTGAAGCTTAAATTTAACAAGTTGGTTTTAAGCAATAAATTCTTTAAAAATGTACAGTGTAAAGGATAATTATAATAGTTATTAATTATAATAGTAAATAATAAATGAAATGCATTTTAAGACTTAATGGCACTATATGAGTATAAAATTTCAGCCTATCATGCATTGCCGTCTGATTTAATACCGTTTCAAAAGGCATTTAATATCTTGTAGTCGATTATGTAAAATTGGCGACAGATTTATACAACTTTTCCAAATGCTTCCAAATTACAAGTTGTAATTACCAATATAAGCGATATATGTATAAGATATAGTTCAATTTAGAAACTGCAGTTAGTAGGTTAAAAACCCTTTTGCTTGAGATATCTATTTTTACCCGGCAGTCAGTAACGGGCAACTCAAATTAGGAGGCATTTTTTGTAAGCTTTTTGTAAAACTGTGACATCACTGTGATGCTGCCTGAAGCGCTGCCGCTGTTAAGTGCTTTCCACCTGGCGGGCAGACAACCTCGACACCAGCATACCCCCACTGACACACTACCTCTCCACTCCCACCCCCACCCCCACACCCACTCACAAACACACACACGCGCCGCACAACAGGAAGCGCGAACATTTTTGCTCATTTGTTGCCCTTTCTCATTTAACTAAGTGCGATGAAGTCGTTCGTTGGCCCCACGAGAGGTGGGCGATGTGAGAAGTGGTGCTGGGGCAAAGGATTCTAGACTGTCTGAGATTAGGATGATGGTAAATTCACTTTATGCAGTCCACACACAGGCGCTCAAAAAAAAAGAACACCTTAAAAAGTGTTGCATACAACAGCGCGCTGGCTGAAATTAATTCATCCCCAAATTGTTTTGGACTGTGACAGCGGCAGAAGTCGTTGCACTCCGCCGCCACACTTGTGTAGATCCCCTACCCCCAACCCCTCCTTGTTTTTTTTTTTTTTGCGCCCCTCACAAGTGTCCACATGTGGCG